AGAGACTCCTTCCATGTTTGCATATTTATTGGTAAGGATGTCATCATAGGTGAGGAAATTGTTGCTGGAGATGACATTTATGGTGGTTCTGATCGGTTGTTGTCGCAAGTAATTCCAAAAACTGGAATCATGGTTAAGTTAGTATATTTTTTTCTTTGTTCTGACCACAAAGGGTGTGATTTCATTTTATTCGTATTGATTTATCTGCAAGTCTTACGATAAATTTTGTTACATTATGTAGACGAGTGAATACAACTGATCTGGATGAAGTTGCATCTGCAATTGGCTCCCGGACAAAGCTTGTGTGGCTGGAGAGTCCAACCAACCCTCGGCAACAAATTTCTGATATTCGTGTAAGTTATTTAGTTTTAAAGTTGAAGTTATGATTGCGTACTATTGTTTCTAGTTGTTGTTGGAGCAATCAGTGTAGTACATACGTTAAAATATCTGTACATGCATCCTCACATTTAAATTTGGGCATTGTAAAGAATAATGCTAAAACCTACATTACTCGTGTGTGAAGTCTTTTCAAGTATTGCTGCTTGAGAATATATTTTGAAACCATGTTGTGATTTGCTGTGATTCTTGCAATAAAATTTGGTACAATGGTGCAGCAACTTAGAAAACTCTGAGATGCCATGTATGATTTTTTCACAAAAAGAAGACCTCATGTACGTCTCTTCTAGCTATGCTGACTGTTGAATTGTGCAAACATGCAAGGGTAATTATAGCTAATAGTCAATGAGTTTGAATGTCATTACGGATTGAATGGGCAGTTGGTCTATCTGGTAGAAAAATATTTCCTTTTGGATTTTTCCTAATAAAAAAGGAAAATCTTGGATCTTTTGGAATAAAGGTTTTTTTTTTTCCAAGGGCTTTTGGGTATTTTTCTTTCTATGGATGTATGGGAATGAAAATATGAAAAAGGGAGATTACTTTTGGGTTAAAAAATTTCTCGCTGCTGGGACTTAGTCCTGTTGCTGCATTCTTACACTTCATTTGTTTGACTTGATTGAACTTTGCCTTTGCTGCTGGGACTTGATCCTTTTTCTTCCTTTTTTGGCCTTCATCTCTGTGTGATTGAATTTTGCCACTTCTGGTTGTTTCCTCAGCACTTCACTGCCTCTTTTTTTCACTGGCTGGCACTTAGAAGCACAGAGATGCATTTATCACTTGCGCTTTTCATATAAGGATAGTTACTTGAAACCGCTATTATTTTCTCTATCTCTCTGTTGCTAGCAATAGCGTTGAACCATAAACACCTTGAGATATAAAGGAAAAGAATAGTTTTCTTGATGGTTTTAGAGGCTCAATTTTGTTTGGGCATCATTCCATAGTTCGAAGTACCCAGAAATATATTCTTTCTTACTAAAATCATGACCCTTAAAGAATTGTGGCTTGTTGGTGCTTTCTGACGGCATAATACCTTTTTTTTGTTGTTAATTTCTATGCAGAAAAAAGCAGGGATAGCTCATGCTCGTGGTGCTCTTGTGTTGGTGGATAACAGCATCATGTCCCCTGTATTGTCTAAACCATTGGAACTTGGAGCAGGTTTTAAAAACAATTTTTATTTAAGTTTCAGATATAAGAAATGCAGTCTCTCGTTCAAGATTTTATTTGTTGCTTCTGATGGTTCCATTGCTTTTTCCAGACATTGTGATGCATTCAGCTACTAAATTCATAGTTGGACACAGTGATGTAATGGCGGGCGTGCTTGCGGTAAAAGGGGAAAGGAGTACCTTGTGAAAGACTTGTTTCATTTGTTCAATTTAATTCATTGATGCATCATCCGCATTCCTCGCCACACTTCTAATTATGTAGTTCTGTGGTGGGAGTTGTTGTAATCGAGACATTTGCCATCATAATCAATGTTAAGGCATGTTGGTAACTAGAATTGGCACAAATCCATAGGATTGGGCTTGCTTATAGAGAGCAGCCGTCGGATTCTATAGTAAATTTGGACAAAATACAATTCTAAGGATCCTGCAAATACAAAACCCTACTATTAACTGTATTTTTAACTGGCCTATTATTAATTATTGAGTTCCTAGAAGTAGTGGAGCTGTGCCACTGGTTACTTTAAAGCAGTCAGCATCCTGCAATTTTTTTCACCCCTTTAATTTATTTTGTTTCATCCTCACAAGTTCTTGTGTTATTCTTGTAACAGGCAACAGTGAGACTTGTCTCACTGTTGGGACTTNATTAGAGCTCCACAGGCATTTCCATCGAGTTCTCCACCGAGTGACCATCTTTGACTCGCATCAAGCAACAAGTATGATGAGTAATCAGTCACTACTCCTCTCCTACATCTGCTGGCGCTGAGTGCATTGATCCTGATTGTAGATGAAGTGTGTAGGAAGTATAAATCCAATAGAACAAAGGGAAAATGCCAGTTTTAAATTCCAGGATGCAGATTTATGGGTTATTGATTGGCTGCTCACAACCATATTCAGCTTTATAGACTTGCTCTGATTTAGTACAAAACTATTTTTCTTGAATATTCGTTTCCAGATACATGTTGTACGGATGTTCTAAAATACCGAGGCATGAGTAGTACAGACAAGTGCATCGTGTTATTATGATTAAGTTGTTATTCAGTTCTAAACCTCAGCGATGTGTCCTCATTTGTGTGTGCTCCATGATCATATGATCTAGATTGATGTTACGACGTCCTTGCTAAATACCGATTTTATTTTTTCGTACAAATTTAGCAGTGCCATTGGTATGTAAATTTATCCATATATAGATATCAAATTTGCCTCTTATATTGATTGATGTTTTCAAACTTCAAGAGACTCCTTCCATGTTTGCATATTAATTGGTAAGGATGTCATCATAGGTGAGGAAATTGTTGCTGGAGATGACATTTATGGTGGTTCTGATCGGGTGTTGTCGCAAGTAATTCCAAAAACTGGAATTGTGGTTAAGTTAGTATATTTTTTTCTTTGTTCTGATCGCAAAGGGTGTGATTTCTTTATATTCATATAGATTTATCTGCAAGTCTTACGATAAATTTTGTTACATTATGTAGACGAGTGAATACAACTGATCGGGATGAAGTTGCATCTGCAATTGGCCCCCGGACAAAGCTTGTGTGGCTGGAGAGTCCGACCACTGCCTCTTTTTTTCCTCAGCACTTCACTGCCTCTTTTTTTCACTGGCTGGCACTTAGAAGCACGGAGATGCATTTATCACTTGCACTTTTCATATAAGGATAATTACTTGAAACCGCTATTATTTTCTCTATCTCTCTGTTGCTAGCAACAGCGTTGAACCATAAACACCTTGAGATATAAAGGAAAAGAATAGTTTTCTTGATGGTTTTAGAGGCTCAATTTTGTTTGGGCATCATTCCATAGTTCGAAGTACCCAGAAATATATTCTTTCTTACTAAAATCATGACCCTTAAAGAATTGTGGCTTGTTGGTGCTTTCTGACGGCATAATACCTTTTTTTTGTTGTTAATTTCTATGCAGAAAAAAGAAGGGATAGCTTATGCTCGTGGTGCTCTTGTGTTGGTGGATAACAGCATCATGTCCCCTGTATTGTCTCAACCATTGGAACTTGGAGCAGGTTTTAAAAACAAGTTATTTTTATTTAAGTTTCAGATATAAGAAATGCTGTCTCTCGTTCAAGATTTTATTTGTTGCTTCTGATGGTTCCATTGCTTTTTCCAGACATTGTGATGCATTCAGCTACTAAATTCATAGCTGGACACAGTGATGTAATGGCGGGCGTGCTTGCGGTAAAAGGGGAAAGGAGTACCTTGTGAAAGACTTGTTTCATTTGTTCAATTTAATTCATTGATGCATCATCCGCATTCCTCGCCACACTTCTAATTATGTAGTTCTGTGGTGGGAGTTGTTGTAATCGAGACATTTGCCATCATAATCAATGTTAAGGCATGTTGGTAACTAGAATTGGCACAAATCCATAGGATTGGGCTTGCTTATAGAGAGCAGCCGTCGGATTCTATAGTAAATTTGGACAAAATACAATTCTAAGGATCCTGCAAATACAAAACCCTACTATTAACTGTATTTTTAACTGGCCTATTATTAATTATTGAGTTCCTAGAAGTAGTGGAGCTGTGCCACTGGTTACTTTAAAGCAGTCAGCATCCTGCAATTTTTTTCACCCCTTTAATTTATTTTGTTTCATCCTCACAAGTTCTTGTGTTATTCTTGTAACAGGCAACAGTGAGACTTGTCTCACTGTTGGGACTTGTCTCACTGTTGGGTGAAGACAATGGCTAATGTTGCTGCCTTCTTGCAAACTGTCATCGCTTTGCATGTGACAATCACCCCCCCTTACTCTGCTTTTTCTATCTTCTTGGAGACCTAAATGTCCAACCATGCTCCTTTTTCATGTTCCCCTTTTTCAGTTCCTTTGGATTTATTGCTGCACTAAATTTTGAGCTCCATCTTGTATTTGTAGATATTTGTGAGTCCAATGTACGAATTTATGGACACAACTTATGGAATCAAAGGAAGTGCATTGGCTTTTCGCAACTATATTGAATTCCAATCTATATTCACTTAGCAATATTGCAATGACATTAATTTTATCCATTCTTCCTCTTACTTTTTACACAACTAGTAATTCTTTCAAAGGTAATGTGCTATCTAATTATCTCGAAAGGTAATGTCAGCCACTAATTATATTGTCAATAATTTTCTCTTGATTCTTGGCAGATGGGCTTCCAATTTGCGGGCAAAGCTGTGTATACTACTGTATGGGTTGCTGCCCTGTCATTGTTTATGGAGTTGCTAGGTTTCTCCACACAGAAATGGCTCACTGCAGGTGGGTCTTGGAACAGTCTTGTTGACACTGGCTGGTCGTGAGGTGTGATTTATATTTCTACTGTGTAAAATAGTTCATCCCTTCTATTCCTTCACCAACATGAGGATTACTCCTAAGATATATATGTTCTCTATAGTTCCGTCGATTATATATTTTGATCCATGACAACTGTTTTTGCCATTTGCAGATATTCACAAATTTTCTTTCAAGTGCAATGATTCATGCAACCCGTCCATTTGTCGTGAATGAGTGGATTCAGACAAAGATTGAAGGCTATGAAATTTCTGGTACTGTTAAGGTACGTATATGTTCATAAGTAGATCCATATGTATGAAGAGGACAAAGAGAAAGATTATATGGACTTGNAATGAGTGGATTCAGACAAAGATTGAAGGCTATGAAATTTCTGGTACTGTTAAGGTACGTATATGTTCATAAGTAGATCCATATGTATGAAGAGGACAAAGAGAAAGATTATATGGACTTGGAATGCACTTTATTTCATCTTATTTTAATGATTACAATTTGTACCTGCTTTATGATGAATGATGTAAACAGACCCTTGCGTCTTTGTTCTTATGAAGCAATTTCTCACTATTGATCCCTCTGGAAGTTGACTGCTTATATATAACTCTTCCCGAAAACTTGCTTATGCGGGTCCTTATAAGCTTTTACCTTTTTGCTTTGGCAGCATGTGGGGTGGTGGTCACCAACAATTGTAAGGGGTGAAGATTGCAAAGCTGTTCACATTCCAAACCATAAGTTCGCAGTGAATGTAGTGAGAAATCTCAGCCAAAAAATTCATTGGCGTATTAAAAACGTCATTTAAAGTGACGTTTTATAAAAAGAGACTATGTTTGTGAAATAAAATTTTAGGGCCGATTGAGTTTGGAGAAAAGCTCCTCCAGATTGAGATATTTTTATAATGTGGGAAGCAAGATTATAATATTGAGATTTTTTTTACTCAATTTATGTGCATATCAAGTAAAATGGGTGATGACTAAAATATAATTTTTTATTACATTCTCTCTTTTTTGGATATTATGTGTAATGTGATTGAACTTTAAACAATTGTAATATATTCTTATTAAAATGGGAAAACGACATGGTACCATCAGTGGTATCGTATCTAAAATTAAAACTTTTTAAGGCAAAGTTGTAATTTTTTCGAGGTGTAAGTTATAATTTTAAATGACATGATCGATCATAAAATGTTGGAATTCATACTGAGATTTCATGATCAGGAGTATCTGCAATTTAGTAAAGCACGGGTTAAAGAATGGATTAAATACATATTTTTTGATATAAAAGTGTGATTTCAAACCACGCTTTTAAGTTTTTTTATTAAATATATGTTTTACTAATATGTTTTTATATTGAAAAATATGAAATTAAATTATGCTTTTGTGAATTTTATTTTCGATTATAAAATAAGTTTAAAATTATTATGAAAAGGGAATTATATTTATTTAAATTTATTTAATTTTTTTTTATCTGCTAAATTATTATGTGAGACATAAGGTGAAATTATTAACTCTTATGAAATTTTATTACAAGTTGGGTTGGAAGAAAACGTCATTGTAAAAAAGTTATGGGGTAGAGAACGTCATTTAAACAAAGAGATGAAAATGTCATTTTGAATGATATTTTCATCCCCTTTGTAATTTTTAACGTCTGTTACTGCTGTTTAAAAAAATCATGTTTAAAAGTGTCATTTTGAATTACAACTTTAAAAACGTCATTATCAATGGCGTTTTTAGGAAAAAAATTAAAACTTCAAATTGTCATTACAAATGACGTTTTTAGGTGATAAAACGTCATTTCAAATGACTTTTTTAAAAAAAGACTGGATTTGAGAATTAAATTTAAAAGTGACTGGGTTTGAGAATTATATTTTTAGTGGGAATGAGTTTGGGGAAAACCTCTATGGCCCTCACACTTTAAGTATGAGTGGTTGTAGTTATCCTATTCAAAAAAAAACAAAGAGTTATTATGAATCTTTTTGAATTTTAACTTGATTTAGGTTATAATTGGTGACGATTTACCTCTTTCAGACAATAATCTTACCCTAATTTGGGTTTAATGATTTTCTCTCAATGTAAAATTAGGTTTAACAATTGGGCATTTGTTTATGCAAGATTGTGTGTATGGGAAGTCTATACTAAGATCATAAATACGAAAAACGCGTGATTGCAATAACTCTTTGGAACTAAATCCCATGGTTGAGATGTGGATAATCAATTAATGGGTTTTTGATCCAATAATACTCTTTGTCTTGTAAAGACTTTATCTTCTTAAGATTAAGGATTCAAGTCCCATTCCCCTTTCCCCTTCAAAAGAAAAAAAAAGATGTGGATAATCACATACTAATTAAATCTTAGGGTAATTATACTTTCTCCTCCTAAATTATAATTATAATTTTATTTTTCTTTTTGAATTAAATAATAAATGTTGTACATTATTTTCTCAATTATTTTTATATTTTTTCATATCGCCTAAAATGCAATTGTCCGTTTATCTTTTGGTCCGAAAATATGAAAATATCAATATATTGAGACAAAGTGAAATAAAATCACATAGTTTTGGGGCAAAATGAAACAATTAATAATCATGCGTATGTATGGGGGCTCACGTGTTTAGTACTGCCTTTAATACTGTAGTCATCTTCCTGTTATTTAATGATGTTCGAAATGATAACTTAAGTTTTTCAAATATTTTTAAAGTAGAAAATAATCTTGATTCAAGAGTAAAAATATATTTGCTTAATATGTACTTAATTTTAATAAAATTCATATACCAGATATTCATCAAAAATCTTCTATATATCCATTTTATGCCCCCACACTTCCACAATCTATTATTTCAGCCCCAACAAACAACATCAAATTTTAGAAATTTATATTACATACTTATATACTTTAAACATTCATACACAGTCTCAATTCACTCCCTCAATTATCAATTTTGTATTAATTAAATCTTTCAATTAATTTCAGTTGTTAGAACGAACGACTGCACATAACGTGGACGACCTTCTTACTTTCCATCTTTCCTATTAAACGGAGCATTCCTGTCATTGAATATAAGGAAACAAAATTGAATGTCATTGTTTTAGGAAACAAAATTGTCTATCATTGAATTTATGATGTTCAGATGTTGGGTGGCCAAATTTATGACGGTGGGTTTCGCAAAGAAATGGCAACTCTTTCTGGAAAGTCTCCAAGACCCTACAACAAAGTTGAGAAAATTGCAAGTCAGTTTGGTCACATTGTTGTTGAAGTCGATCAAACTTAGGTCTCGATATAGTTTGAATTTTGAGAACAATCATAATCGATCCCATTGAATGATTTTAAATCGATTGAGTTATAACTTTTAAGTTATTGAGTTATTAAATTATAAATTTAAAAAGGGTACAAAAGAATAAGTTTCTATAACTTACAATTTCTTACACTTATAACATGATTGAGAAAATAAAAACATAAAATTAGTCCCTCGAATATTTCGTCAAAACTTTTTTATAGTGAGTTTACAATATATATAAGAGGTACCATATTAAGAATTATAATTTTTTGGGTCAAGCTGTAATTTCTTTTGATCAATTTACATGTAAACGAGGTCAAATTTTGACAACCCGACCATTCATCTCTAGTGCGTTTAGTAGGTAGTAATGAAGTATGAGAATGAAATGACCATTACTTAGTATTACACATTTCAATATTTGGTATGTAGTAATAAAAATTTAATCCCATTACCATAGATTTTCTAATCCTACTAGTGTAGGATTTCTCATTCTTAAATATTTGGTGGTATTTTTCATTCTCAACTATCATCATTCGTTACCACAATCATCACTCGAGTTGGGGTTGGGGTTGGGGTTCCGGCCCCAAGCAAGGTCCGTCTAGGTTTGGGGTATGGGTCTAGGGTCAAGTTTGAGTCTAGGTTTAGGTTATAGGTCCGAGGTCATGGCGGATCCGTGTCTAAGAATTATCCAAATATTTGAATGAATTTTTAATTCTATTCTAATATTTAATCTTAATTGTTATCAAACATTAGAATAGTAACGTGCATTCAATTTTATTCATATGTTCATTTTATTCTTACGTCCNAATTATCCAAATATTTGAATGAATTTTTAATTCTATTCTAATATTTAATCTTAATTGTTATCAAATATTAGAATAGTAATGTGCATTCAATTTTATTCATATGTTCATTTTATTCTTACGTCCATTCCATTTCCATGTAAAAGCATTCTCACGTACCATAAGCAGGAGAGAGTTTGCCTGTACAGTCTATGTAGGATGGAGCCGCACACCATCAGCATGATGAACTTTTCTTGGGTTGTAAAAAATTAGGACTAATAATATGATACACCCTTAAAAAACTTAAAATTCTCATTTTACATATTGAAAAATTAAAATCCCCATCTTGCATCATCAATCAAATAAAAAAAAATAGCAATAGGGTTTGTTGTAATAAAATTGAGCACAACCTATAACCCTTCAAATTGAATAATATAAAAACAATTATGCACATACATAAAAACTATAAAAAAATGCACCAAAAAATAGTTGTCAAACAACGAAACGGAACATTTCATTTAAAGATTACATCATTGTATTTTTATTCAATTGAAGGTGCCAATGTATAAAATAAAAAAATTTTAGAGAGCAAACGATTATTCACTCTTAAGATTACATCACTACATTTTTTCTTCAATTGAAGGTGCCAAGATTCAAAATAAAGATCTTTTAGAGAGCAAAAGATCAGTCACCCTTATTTTATACCAAAAAACTTAAAATCCCTAAATTCTTGCTTCATGTAGAAGGGTCGAAGAGGGATCTTTTATGGGAATTGATTGCTGAGGAGGAACAGCAGTAAGACCTCTGATAATAGGATTAACTTTCTCAGTGAACTTGATAATTCCCCAAAACATAAGCCTATACAGAACCACCATTCCGAATAGTATAGCAACATCAACCCACTTAGAGTAACCCAATTCCACTTGCCAAACATTCCTCAAAATCTCATCACCAGTAATAGTAGGTGGTCCTCCCTCGTGTTCCTTCGGAAATGTCAATCCTTCAAATTCATTCTTGTAGAACCCTTGATTTGCATACTTGTGGAAGGCAATGTAGTACATTGGATACCTCCAAAATGGTTTAGGAAGGTCATCGGGCAAGCGAAAAAAACCGCCATTTAGCATCATCACACCTTGAATTCCAGCACCTGTTATGATGCCCATGAGAAAATCGGGCACCACGCTTGCAACGATCATCATCAGGCTCTCAACCAACATCATGCACGAAAAGAGCAGCAGAGCAAAGAAAACAAAATGGTCGATCCCCTTTTGAAGGCCGACGAGGTAGTAAGCTATTGCCCCGGGTATTAAAGAGATTATTAGCAAGTAAGGAATGGAAGAAAATGTGTTCCCAACAACAAATGCAGCCACACCATAGTGCCCATTTAATCTTTCTCTGCTGAAAATCTATTATTCATCATGAGACAAAAGAAAACTGTAAACAAAATATAAGTTGGAATCTAAAATTTATTGTTGATTAATAAGTAACAAAAGAAGCACCTTCATGTCCTCCACAAATGAGGGGAATCCACCGATGGCCATAAATGTCAAGAACGCCGCAACAAACATGAGCATCGAACCTCTAGCCTGTAAATAAAAAATAGGAAGTCAGATAGTGTGTTTTCTTACTTTGACTTAGAAATTTAATGATAATCAATTTCTTTGGTTTAATTATAAGGTGTTCATTATGTACCTGAATTGAGCCAAAAGTAAAACCAATGTCATAGAAGATAGTCCCTACGCATAAGCACAATGCAATGTATATTGCAAGGCGAAGCCAGTAATAGCCTAGATCACGATACATGTTCACAAAAGATCTTTGCGTGAGAACAAGGCATTGAGTAATGAAGCCCGCTTGGCTTCCCTTCTTGTTCAGTGTTCCTCCATTCTACAAAAACAAAAACAAAAACAAAAACAAAATTTCCCTTTTTAGTACTAGTTTTTTTGGCAATATGGGTCATCCATATTAATTGAATTCTATGTTATATATAAACGAGTGAACAAGGGACTTTAACGGCTGCTGTGGTACCTGTTGACATATCTCAGATACATACTGTTGAACTTGTTGGCATGCCTCTGATGATTTATACGACTTGACAAAAATGTTAATTGCTTCAGTAGCGCTTATTTTTCCACCAAGTCCTTGTTCAATATCCTGATGTCAATGGCCAATTGTTTCTCAAAATATCTCTTGGTCAATTATCTATACCATAAAGACCTAGTAGTTGTTTCTCATATTGAACTAAAATACTACTTACAGCATCGAAGTCTTTGTTGACAGTTCTAAGGTAGTGATCAGATGGGTTTCTCATAGCTGGACATGGGAAGCCATTCAAAACAAAAAACTGCACCAAGTTGACCATAAAGTATTAACTGCTCCATAAGTTCATTGAATTATATATTTATCTCAAACAATTTACAAGAACAGAATCTGAAAGGTGATCCTTGATTTTGCATGCATACTCAAGGAAGCTATAATTTTACCTCATTTGCTGCTGAAGTGGAGCCAAAATAGACGGTTCTACCAGAGGAGAGAAGGCAAAGATTCTGGAAAAGCTCAAAAACTTCACTACTCGGTTGATGGATAGATGCAATGATTGTCCTTCTGTCTTGTTGGGCAAGTCTGATAATTCGGTTCATGACATGGTAAGACGCTGCACTGTCAAGGCCACTAGTAGGCTCATCTAGGAAGAGAAGCTTTGGGCGCGTCAAGATTTCAATGCAAATGCTAACTCTTCTCTTTTGTCCACCGCTAAGTCCTTTCACACTCCACCCTCCAATTCTTGTGTCCATGGCGTCTTGCAATCCCATCTCTCTAATTGTTGCATCAGCTCTCTCCTTCTTCTCGTATTTTGACATGGAATCAGGAAGTTGGAGTTGAGCTGAGTAGTATACAGCTTCTCTTACTGTTAATGTAGTCATTAGAGTATCATCTTGTGTCACATAGGCCTATATCAGGTTAAGCCAAAAGGACTTGGTTAGAATAGAAGATTATAGGTGTGCAATGTCAAGGAATCAACCTCAAATTCTCTCTGCAGTAAACCTGTCTATTGTGATTAAAAAATTGTTGTGTTTACTGTTAAAATATCTTTTCCAAGTGATCCCCCAAAAAGCAGTAAAAAATCGTATGTTCACCTCACATTTTCTGAGGAGGAGGGTGTAGTTACCTGAGATAAGGCCTAAATCCACATTTATTATATAGTCATAGGAGTTTGAGCGATGGTAAATGCTCATTCACCCTACCGCTACACTTCGAGATTGGGTTCAAGGATCAGTATCACCTTGCAACCCATTATACAAGGGGAGCAATGTGCACTTGATGCGATTATATACCATGTAACCCATGGATCAGAAATGTTATACACTACCCATTTTTTGTTTCATTTTCAGAGGACTTAGGAAAGTCAAGATTCTTTAATCATGTTCACTACTAATATTAGATACACACACATATTCTAAATATGTAGCAAAACATATGCTTCGAATTTGTGAAATTCTTCGACAGACATCTTTTTTAGAGTTAATTGTACCAACGGTTCCCGAGATTTATCACTTATTATACTTTTGTCTATAAACTTTTAATTTTGTCAATTTCATCGTCCTTGTTCACACATTGGTCCATACACCTAACTTCCATCCAAAACACTAACTTCCATCCAAAACACCAAGGAAAACGTCATGTGCTTACCAGGGTATTAAGGGACATTTTGGTTATTATACTCCAAAAACAAGTGGGCATTCGTGTACAAATAAAATAGTCTCACAAAAAAAATATTACGCCCATCTCTCTCTCTTCTCCAATCCCATCTCTCTCTCTTCTCCAACGCACCTCCCTCTCTTCGGCCAGCGACCACCCAGCTCTCCCTTTGCGCAAGACTTCTCAGCTGGAATCGAGCGTCACCATCCACCACCGATGGAATCGAGCGTCACCATCCACCACCGATGGAATCGAGCGCCACCACCCACCACCGCTGGAATCGAGAGCCACCACCCACAGCCGTTGGAATCAAGCTCCACCATCCACCAC